CTAGCTCGATTCAGTCAAAATCCCGGAATGCTTCACTGGCAGGCAGTCAAAAGAGTTTTTCGTTATCTAAGAAAAACTTCCCACTGGAAATTATGCTACCAGAAATCTGAAGATGAGCTTGTAGGGTACTCCGATTCAGATTGGGCTGGAGATATCGATGATCGAAAATCTACTGCTGGATATGTTTTCATCTTATGCAGTGGAGCAGTGAGCTGGTCATCACGGAAACAGTCAACAGTAGCACTTTCGACGACCGAAGCCGAATACATGGCGTTGAGTGCAGCGACCCAAGAAGCAATTTTTCTGAAGGAACTCTTGAGAAATATCATTCCAGAAAGTTGTCACGAAATGATTATTTATTGTGACAATAAAGGGGCAATCGATATAAGCAAGACTGGAGGTTTCAGACCAAGGACCAAACATATCGATATACGATATCATTTTGTGAGAGAGAAACAGATTGATGGTGATATCGTTATACATCCTATAAGTACTCACGATATGTTAGCTGACTCTTTAACAAAAGGGCTATGTGGAGAAAAGTTGATACAGAATACAAGGAAGATAGGATTAATGCCGATCACCAGGAATATCACATGAAGCGGGGGTGTTAGAATAAGTTCGTTTAATATAGATCTACACTTATTGTAATCATGTGAATTCATTCTGTATTATGTTGCTAGGATAGTAACGTTGTTTATGTATGTTGTAATTGTTTTACGAATATAAATATATTCAACATTGTGTGTATCAGTGCGTAAGTTCCACTGCAGAATCAATCCCTGCTAACAAGATTCACCTATTATGCATAGAAAACATCGTTATATTCACATGTCTGATGTTTTGTTATATAATTTTTCAACAAAAAGAATGATATATACTTCTTTATCTTGATACAATCAAATTATCATGTCAATATCTTCCTGATTCGGATAAAACAGATTATCAAACACAAATACTACAATGTACGAACCTTTCTCAGCCCTCTAGAATTCTTCATAAAACAGTTTGAATCAGATTTGAGTAGGTATAGCAAGGAATTTCTATCGATTCAACTTGGCAACAATGCGCTACCGCTTGTTCCGAGTCTCCACGCGTCTCACACATTCTGGTATATTGACGGTCTGTCGATGTACGGTTCTGATGTTTTACGGGTCTGTCAATGTACGGTTCTGCCATTTTACGGTTCTACTATTTCACGGGTCTGAATCCAAAAAATTCTGAAAATTTACGGGTTTGGTAGCTGCACGATTCTGCCATTGTACGAGTCTGTCATTTTACGATTCTGCTGTTTTACGGGTCTGTCGTTTTACGGTTCTGATGAATTATGGATCGGAAATTCCGGTAGTCCGATGGATTATGAGTCTGTCGATGTACGGTTCTTGCATTTTACGGATCTAGAGTATTGGCAGTCTGTGCTTTTACGAGTCTGTCATTGTACGGATCTTTCATTTTACGGGTATCAAAAATTACAGTCTGTCTTTTCACGGGTATGAACTTTTCGCATTCTGCCATTTTCAGATTCTGTACATCACAATTCTGCCAGTTTGCTGGTCGGGAATGTTCATTCTGATGAAATGGTGGTCTACAGAGTACGGGTCGCTGAATTACAGTCTGTGCTTTTACGGTTCTATGACTTTACGATTATATATTTTTATGATTCTGACGACATGAAGAGTATTTCATTTACTGGTTTGGCAAAGTACACTTCTGAATATATGGCAGTCTTTCGATATACTATTGTGATTTATGCCATCTTGCATAATGCAGTCTGTCAAAGTACGGTTCGACAAATTACGGGTTGTACATATTGCAGTCGCTGAAATATGGTTCTGATGATTTGCTATTCTGATTTCTTGCTATTCTAGTCAAATAAATTCCTACTAATCGACGGTCTGTGTCGATACGTTCTGATGATGTATATGGACCCTTTCGAAATCACTTTGAAAAACTGCCATGAGAATGTGAAATTCCTATTTGAATATTTTCATAAATAAAGAAGTTACAAAGGAGACATGGAAATGATCAAAATCTGTTTTTTGCGTATAAAACAAAAACGAATAGATTTTATCAAAATATTTTTTCACATTATAGTTGGCCTTGACAAACTCCACATTTGGTGTCATTTAACCGACCTCGTATCTCTCACCGTTAAAAAGATACCCATGGTGAGCATGGTAAGTGGGACACACTGTATATAGGATCCTGAAAGTAGCTTTGCATAATATATTATACCTACCTACAGTATTAAGGTAGGTGAATACAATATGCGCACGAGCCTTAGTTTGGTTGTTTTATTAATGATGGCAGCACACATCATACGCACAGTTTTCTGTTAATCTACTTACTAAGAGATTTTCAGTTGGTAATACAGTCAGTCGCTAAAAATCATGTTTTTAAGACGCCGATATAATATTTAATCGTTAAGTTTTCTTTATTACATAAAGTTGTGAAAACAGTGTCAATAATACTGCAATATCTTGTGTTCAAGCTTCAGATTGTGAAGAAAAGCCATTGATTTGTAGTGACACTCAAGACAAAAACATAACCTAACTTTATGTGCAGCAATATGCTCACCATGCGGAGTTAGCAATATATGCACATGAGCTACAGCACCTAAAACTAGGTCACACCTGGAGAAGTGTTAGCTGTATTTAAATTGCTGAGATGCCCCCTGAAGATATCAAAGACATTTCGATCTGTCCATTTTGTGAAATGTGAATGTTTCGTACTTTGTTGAACATATAAAATTGACAGGTATTTCACAAGTAATGCATCCATTTTTATATATAAGTATTCGACTTTGGTTAATTGGATAACAAATATAACAAACCAATTTTTCATGGCAAACTATTTTTTCTTTAGGTTTTGAACATGTTAAATTTCATCATGGAATTATTCGCTTAGGTTGGGCATAGATTGTATAAAATTCAAAGTACTTATTTGCTCAAGAAGAGAAGCTTCAGTGTCAGATTAGTTACCTATAAAAGTTATCACTCTACAGTCTGAAGTGCAGGAATGCAATAGAACTTATAAACGCCATGCATTTATGTCGCAGTGACCTGACAATGTTACATGAAACTTGAAACCATGACCACGACGTAGCGTCTATACAGGGTCCGGAAATTATTCGCAAAAAATCGAAGGGGTGATTCTGCATGAGAAAACATGAAATTTATTTCATACATACTTGGGTCCGGAAATGCATAGTCTTCAAGATACAGTGTGTTGAATTTTTTAGAAAAAAACGGTTTTTTATGAATATCGCAAATATCCTTCCACAGATTCTCTTGAAATTTGGCAATTAGATTCTTTATCATGAGGGGCTGATTGAGTCTTTTTTGAATTGAAATTGTGAAATCCAGTGGCGTCCCGGGTATCATAAAGCTGAGTCAATATTTTGTCGATTTTTTTATATTATGTACTTAGATTGTGTAAACATGTTACGTAGTTTTATTCAACGTGCTATGTTATTTTTTTATTGTTGATTCATTTTATGAATACCTACCGTACTACCATGCGGTTCCATCCTGACTCTTTCTTATACAATTGTATGTTGTCTAAAAGAAATAAAGTGATTTGATGATTTTGATTTGATTTTTATTATTGTCAATAAAATCTGCGCCACTGTTTTTTTTATTTCTGTATCTTCATATCCTGATGATTAACTGAAAATACAATATTTTGGTCTCTTGAATTCTTTTAGAATCCTTTTACTATTTTGCTGCGTTTCTGTGGAAAAAAGTAAATACCAATTCATTGTTTAAATAAGGACCCCGCACTAAACTATAGGGAAAATGGCTCTCGATGAAAATCGCTGAATTTTTGGTATGTTGCAGACTTTGATGTACTGATCAGATATTCCATTGAACTAACCTCAAAAAATGGACAGTTTTTCTGATATTGACCTCCAAATGTCATTTTTTCGAGAAAAAAAAGTATCTGAAAACGGTTGAATTTTTGACATGTTGTAGATAGGAATGAACTGATGAAAAAATCTAATTGACATAACCTCCAAAAATTGACAGTTTCCTCAATATTGACCTCCAAATGTAATTTTTTCAAGAAAAAAAATCTCTGAAAATGGCTGAATTTCTGGTATGTTGTAGATCGGAATTAACTGATGGAAAAATTCAATTGACCTAACTTCAAAAAATTGACAGTTTTTCGATATTGACCTCCAAATGTACGTATGGAAAATAAAGATGAATGGAACAAAAATCAATAGACAAAGTTGCTGTTTTCGAATTGGTATTTGGCATTTCATTCTTCTATAAACAAATCTTCTTCATATGATACACCCACAGGTGAAATTAAACGTGTGGTCCATGACCATAGACGTAGAATAAGAATGAAAATTCATTTCCTCCGAATATTTTATAATACGTTTGACACACTTTGTATTATCGAAAACTACGCCTTCCTGGACCGAGAATACATAATTCTCAATTTACAGAGTGTAGAGTGTGTCAAACATGTATCGAGAAATATTTGGAGAAAATTGATCCTCATACTCATTCTATGTCTATGGACATTGATGACGCATTTATTTTTCAGCACAAATTTATGCGATAAATTGGTAATCATTTTTTTCCATGGAAATGATGCAAATTATCAAAATAATTCAAGAGACCAAAATGTTGTATTTTCATTTCCATATTTCAAAAAAATCGGTGAAAGGACATTTGAGATATTCATAAAAAAACGATCTTTTTTAAAACTTTTAAGACACTGTTTGTTGAAAACTATGCATTTCCGGACCAACGTACATATATGATGAATTTCTTATTTCATCATGTAGAATCACTCCTTGATTTTTTGCGCATAATTTCCGGACACCCTGTATAAAATTTCCATATACCATCTATACATAGGTAGCTCTCGCACGTCCGCTAATTTAGTAATTGCCAACAATTGCCGAGGTATATCAACAAACTGCAGACTTCCTATAAACCGAAACGTAGAAAATCGGAATATTTACAAACACCTTCACGTGATGGATGCATGACCAAGCCGGTAGACCAATCAGAGGGCCCCAAGTAGATACCCTGCACCGCACCACGGCGATTACAACCGTTCAAACAGACCCGTCTAGCTCCAGAAGTCAGCCCGAGTTGCATTTCTGTACCGTACTTCGTGCAGTAAAGACGTGTTTTCCACTATCTGAACCGTTTCCAAGTCTGACCGTGAGTTACCCAGATATCTGTTCTTATCTCAACCAATTTGTCGCCAGTGAACGGTAAGTAGAGAAGCAACCGTTTCTGCAAGGCTTGAATTTATTATTTCTTGAAAGAACTTTAGGTATTAGGTACGAGGGATTTCCATCCTTAGGATCCAAGCTCGCATTTTAAATTATTTGGAATTTGACAGATGCACGCTCAAACATATTTAGGATTGCGACCATGTTCATAAAGATTCAATATTCATCATAATCATTCCAAATCATGTCTTGAAGTATGATGCTAATATCCTGCTTGGTGCTAGTGACCTCTTAACACGCCCATAGTCAGGGACACAGTTATATCTATATATATTTAACGAATGAGAACGTGAGAGAGAATATATCGATCTCCTCTGAATTTAGATGACACTGCATTGGGCAAACAGAACAAATAGTCCTTTTGTGTAGGTTAGGTAGAGAAAGCTTCTAGCATCTGGGACACAGATTAACAAACCTTTGATCTGTGTCTGGGATATCATGAAGGTTTATATAACTCATGAGACAGATAACTTTTGCCTCTCCTACATTCTTTCAATTTCTAGATAAGCACCTCTTGGAAATACAGGTAGGGAGGTGGATTAATATCGAAGATATAATGCGAAGAAAGTTGGTTTTTAATTTCCAAAATAGATTATTATGCTAATGATAAATGCTATTTTCTTCCTGTATACTCAGTTTCTCAGGTAATCTTCCTGCTAATAAACTGAAGGTAGGTTCTTTCAGCAACCTAATCTATAAGTATATAGTGTATGCATTTCAAATTCCCATTGATTCTTTTTTATCTAAAGTATCAAAAGGTCGAAGTAATAAAAAGGTGTAAAATAGAAGGTCACAAACCAATCAACCATGAATACAGAATCTTATAATATATATTCTTTCAGTTCCAAGTATGTGTTTGGTTGTCAACTTTTTCTATTCGCTTTCTTTCTACCTGTAGCTTTTAGTTTCTCACAGTTCCAACCATTCCCATTCGACCATTGTCAAATCGACATTCAGATCTTCAAATATGGAAGTCACAAGGCCCTTATTGTCCTCTGATGCCTCCATTGTCGAAGTTCCATTATGTTCGAATCACTTCTTTTAGTCGTGTTATATCATCTTTGATAGAGTTTAGAAGTGGCTTCACAGGTGATCTATGCTTTCACAAATTTATTCTTAATATCTATTACTTGTATGCCTCATAATCTACGATATAGTTGGGATGGAAATGTACATTTCAAGCCCCTCTCAAGATGTTATGAAGCAGTATCAAAATTTGTATTGTACTGAAAAACTATTCCAGCAAATGAAGTTATTTTGTTCGCTCAACTAGAGCCAGAAATACTTCCGGAAATGAGACTTTCGACAAATCCTAAAGCAACGAACATTTCTCAAACTTTGAAACGTTTCAAGATACATCATTAGAAAGTAGGCAGATGCAATCTTGCAAGAAATTGGTATAATTTCCCCTCTATTCGTCTATATATCGTACCACTCAGTGTTTTAGCCCTCATTTATCTTTTTTCGGTGTCGATATAATAGAATAATAGAAACATCCGTTGCAAGTTCATTCATCAGCAATCATATTCGTTTCGTACTATGAACTCCCTAGCTAATTTCACGAATATAACGAATATAAAACGAATCCCAAATCCAACATATTTCTATAATTATTTTACGTGTTTGTTTATAGCTATACTTATTTGTCGTCCTTTCTATTTTTATCATCAATTCAAAATCTGATATGAGTTTGTATGCAAATTTCTAAATTACTGTTTACAGTGTAGTAATATCGTATTCAGGTACTTCTACTAGATTATATTGTGAATATTTTACGAGTGATCGAGCAAGTGATGAATCGTGATTCAGTAGGTAGGTAGGAAGGTACTTATCCGGATATCAATTTTCAATCGATGAAACATATCATTATAGGAGTTTTCCCGAAAGCACATCAATATTAGCTCAGTCATCGTATGAAATCTAATCGTTATCATTAGAAATTAATTCAATTTGTGATTTGAATATCAATTTGAGATTCATGATCCGGCTATACAGGGCTTTCATTTCAAAATTTTCAAATGAAAGCCCTGTATAGTTAGTTATAGGTAGATGTACTTGAGGCTTGAAGTTTTTGATCACGAATCTGGTTTTATTGGAGATGTTAAGTCTAAACAATTCATGTGTCAACCCTTATATTATGTTCTATTCATTTTCAGATAATGCTTTCCCAAAACGTACTAGAAGAGGCCAAGCTCGATGCAATGCAACGACACTGGCAATTCCGTAGAGGAGCATCATCCTCGACAACAGCTTTCTTCAAGGAAGTAAACGAGACTGAAGATTTACTAGATATACCCCTGCAAGTACGTTCATTAAAATTCAATTTATTCAAATACTGTTTTTTTGTTGTTTTTTATATTGAAAACGGGAGCAGATTCGTTCCCAAAACGTCCAAAGCTAAGTAAAGATTCGATATTTTCTCAATATATCTATATTTCTTCTCTTCAATCATTTTTTCCAACAAAATGTTACTGACAAGCTATTGGATTTTTTTTTAGGCTTCCTGATAAAAAAATGTGTTAAACACAGTGACATTCTGGGGCAAAACATCTGATTTGTCCTACTACACATATATGGAAATAATACTCGTATTTTCATTTTGTAGAAACGAGAAGAAAAAATCCCAAATAATCGAGTAAAATTCAATTTGTTTGTTTATTTATTTTAGTATGCTAATTCATCCGAATTCGTTATTCCTACTATTATTATCTCTGATCAATCATAATATTATGGTCGGTTAATGATAAAATTATCAGCGCTTATAGGTATTGTGAATTTTTCTATTATGAAATGAAAAAACAATTCTCAACACGAGATAATTCTTGTTATCGTATTAATACATATTTTAGGCGACGATAGATTTCAGCAGATACTGAAACCATTTTTTAGGTATATTATTGCCAGGATATTAATAACAGAATCAAACTAATGCAAATCCATAACTACACACTAGGAAGCAAATATTCGAGAAAACATGTGATATAGAAAACTTTAATATTTTGAATAATATGAGAATTGAGAATTCCATATCTATCGAAAAGGAATATTCTCAGATATATTATGAACATGAAAAAAATGGACAGGTACATATTGAGAAATACATTGAGAATTTGCATTCTCTATCTGATGAGAATATGAATTTTTTCTCGGCATATTCAACAAAAAACAACTACATTCCTGGATATATGCCACGACGAACATTCAATTATATGTTTCGAACACACACAATGAGAATTTGAAATGAAATCTTCTGGAGTTGAGAATTTGCATTCTCTTTCAGATGAAATAAATATATAGGTATGTGGGTATATAATATAATTCGGAATATTCAACAGAAAACAACTGCGTTCATGTCTATTTGCCTCGTCGAATTTCAGAAGATTTTATTTCAAATTCATATTATTGTTTCTGTTCGATAGGTCGATGTTCGTCTCTGTTGAATATACCGAGACAAAATTAATATTATTATCAGATAGAGAATGCGAATTCTCAGTGTATTTCTTGATAATTATGTATATATCTATCCATTTCTTTCATGTTCATAATATATCTGAGAATATCTCTTTTCAATAGTTTTATATCCAATCAAGGATCAAACTTGAACGATTGAATTTTTTTTACTCACCTCTTATCACAGAATCGTGATTGGGTTTTCTCAATTAGGGATTTCTTTCCACAACTTATACGATGGATATCAATTCATCATACACTATAAACAATCCTATATCTGTTGAGAAGGTATTGTATATGACTCGAACTTTCTCTGTAGGCGGATACAACAATAGTATATGGCACTCACCTAGTAAATTAAATGAAATGCAATTGAATTGAAAATTGCTTTGTGTTCCTTCAGAAAAGTTAGCTATTTGGTTCATATCCCCAATATGAGATTCCGTTAGTTCAGTTCTTAACGCAAAATTACAATGAAAGATAATTTTGTTCCAGAATACTTGTACTGATATCCAGAGAAACCCACTTACCAAAGTACTGAGCTGTGATGGAGATAGCGATGTTGAGTTTTTGGACCTGCAGGTTTGTACACAAATTGTATACTCTTAGGATTGAAATAAAAATAACAACCAAAAAAGTTTGGCATACTCATTGCACTTTCCATAGACTTCCAGACGAATTTCTCAAATTTGTGCATTTTCCTTCCATGAAAATTCATTCAAACAGTTGTTATCGAGACATATTCACTCCAATGTAACTCAATATCACGAATAAGGCACTGAACTATTTTGTTGATTGTTATTGGGAATGAAAGTAACAATATACGATAGGCTACAAAAATGTGAAAGTCGATGGCAAGGCGAATATTTTCATGAAATCTGAAAAACTAATGTACCTAAACAACAAAAAAATTATTCAGTTATGAAGTTATTTAGCAAGCTTCGCCAAAAGAAAATGCAAGTGCCATATGCCTGTCAAATAGTTCAAAGACTGTTTATAAACGTATAATCGCTTCAGAAATAGATTGCGATGACGTCAAACACAGTTTGGAGTCAAAAAAACAACTCTAGTCAGCAAGATTCATGGAAAACTGCCAACTGTTCGAATATATTTATTCACATTAGACACCAGAATGCCAGAATATATTTTTAGCAAGTTAAAATCACTTTTAGTTAGTCTCAAACCAATGGCAATTGCAATCAGTATTTACCTGTAATTAATTACCTATTACTGTGATTCTGAGAATGCAATGATAGTTATTGTTAAAAATATTATTGATGGCTATAGCAGACAGTAAACGATTCTTGATAAGCAAAGACTATCTATTGTGCAATACTTTTCATGTAGATAAAATTCAAGTATGTATATAGCTAGGTCAAATTGTTGTTTCTGTATCAGTGTTGCATTTGATTATCCAACAATTTTCATCACCAATTGAAGAACCGGAAACAGGTTATTGCATTTCTCTATTATTGACAAAACCAAAGAGTAAACCAAATTTTATTAGATACTCAATCATAATTTTTATGTTAGTTAATTATTCAACCTTCAAAGAATGAATATATGAATATTTCCAGGAACATGTGATAGTATCTGAGGAGAGAGAAGATTCCCTCATAAAAAAAGAACCGCTCCAACTGGATGCCTCAACTATAGGAGACATTCCAGGTCAATACACTATATGTGCCCTGGAACCCTATCAACTGCCAGTTGTTGGGGTTTACATCGACAAAAGGGTAGTGCCCGGTTTCAAATACCGCGTGAGACCATTGTCTAAAGTGGGAACACCATCCACTATCAACCAATGCCTTTTCGATAATAGAGCACTAGTTCTTCAATCTATCGGAAGAGGTTATTCCAGAAGGTTGACCTTCAAAGCCGACGAAAATAAACTCAATGACAACGACAACTATTTCTGGAGTGACAATCATCCCGAGGGTTACGCTTTTGAGCTGGAATTACTGTCTGACGGAGATAAGTTCACGTTTTTCAATTTGAACAGGGAGCCACAAGGAACCGTCGAAGTACTGACAATAGAGGTGAGAATGCATTTTCTTTACCCGTTTTTTTTAAATATTTAACTCACATACCTATTGCGCATTTGGCCGACCAACTATTTTTGTCAGACTCATCTCACCTGGATCGAATGGACCTGCTACATATCTGTCCATCTATACTTAACCTAAACCCCAAAAACCAGCAAGCTCTGCAGAGTGGGGCGTTGTAAGTCTTTCATACAAGAATTTGTTCGATTCCCGATTGCATTTTCTTATGATGCTCACTCTTTCAGGAACCCCAAATTGAAATAGCTAGTTCCCTAACGAAAAGTGGTTTAGAGAAAAGAGCCACTGTCACGTTTACAGGTAAAGTAGAGTCGTATGAGACTGGTGTGGCTAAGCCGATGAATCTAAGTGGCACTGTCGTGTCTATGAAAGCCAAAGGAAATTCCACAGCGCAGATTGTGAAAGTTATAAATGTAACTATCAAGCGGCAGAGGTGTTATCTCTTGCCAGGAATGCAAAAAATCCATAGGAGAGTGACTGTTAGAGGAGAAGAGATCAATGATGTACCGACCAAATATACAATGAATGGATTGGAACCCTATGAAATACCTGTTGTAGGTTAGTATAATAATAAACAGATCGTCAAATTCAGTATAGATTTGCAGAATGTTGAATGACAAACATCTAATGTTCTTCATTCTGCTCTGAATATGAGATGACCATCATCAGAATTGATGATATATAGGTACAGGGTGATTCACCATAAATGTCCCCCCCCTCTAGCTCACTTATTTTTGAACCGATTTAAAAATTTAAAAAACGATCTAAAATGATTTTTCAGAATTTTTTCCCGTTGCATCAGAAAATACACGGTGCTCGGAACAAACGATCTACAGAGTACTACTTGATTTTTTTCAAATGGAACAGCCTGTTTTTCATTGTATTTTTAGATTCTCCCTGAAGAGCTGATTTCATCAATACATCACACTTGGGGTCTAGCGGGAATGATTACAGAGATATAAGGTGTTCAAAATCGAGATTTTTCAACTTAAGGATTTTTTTGTGTCGAAACTATCCATTATTGGTCAAAGCGGCTTTGATGTCCCTATCTCAACTTTTGATTTACTATCTACTGACATTTAATTGGAACATATTACAGTGTGGTTCAAGATCAGAATTCTGATCACCCTGTATTTGTTCCAATTATGAATTGTCAGTAGATAGTAAATCAAAAGTTAAGATACGGACGTGGAAGCCGTTTTGACCGATAATGAATAGTTTCGTCGCAGAAAAATCCTAAAGTTGAAAAATCTCGATTTTGAACACCCTATATCTCTGTAATCATTTTCGCTAGACCCCAAGTATGATGCATTGATGAAATCAGCTCTTCAGGAACAATCTAAAAATACAGTCAAGAATAGGATGTTCCATTTAAAAAATCAAATAGTACCCTGAAGATCGTTCGTTCCGAGCACCTTGTAATTTCTGATATAGCGGAAAAAAACTCTATCGAAAATCATTTTAGATCATATTCAAAATTTCGCAATCGGTTCAAAAATAACTGAGCTAGAGGGGGGGGACATTTATGGCGAATCACCCTGGCAATCACATAGGCAATGAAATGGAGAATTGAAAGAACATCAACAAGTTATTGAAATCTATCAGCAACTGTTTCCATTGCGATTCATCAAAGCAAGATAACACTTGTGAGACCCTTGAATTTGTTATGATGGATTGGTCAATGATTGAGTAAAGTTTTCAATTTTGACAACGAACTTATATCACCAGTGAAGAATATAAAAATTATCGGTATATCTGTTAGCAAATATCTCGCATGTTTATTCTTTCAAAACAACCTAAAACTGATGTTGGTCATAACAATTTCCTGAGGAATTCATCAATTCCAAATGATTTTTTATCAGACGACTTGATGGAGTGTATAAAGTATTTTACTGCATATATTAATTATGTTATCAACACTTGATTTTTGATGTATGTGCATCGTCGTAATACCTAATTAATCATTAGATATCGTTATGAGTAATCAAAATAGATCAGAAATTTGTTTTAGGTGATCAGATAAAATTCATGATTGAGGCAACACATTATTTTAAACAAAACCACGATTTAGACAGGGAATATTACTTTCATTCCTGATCTAACTCGGTCTCTAAAGTATAATCCATCAAACAACACGAATCTCAATATACCCCGTGATGGGATCACTCACACTGTTCAGGGTGCAATATATTTGAAACGCTAAAAAAGTGAAAGTTCTATAAATAGAATCAACTTTCCTAGCTCATCAGCTTAGACATACCTACTTTACCGCATGGATATGAACAAATTGAATATTTCATCATTCTTCAACTGCTTTATACTGACAGAGTAGTTATATTCCATCTTAAGAAGTTATTTGATGCTATTTTTTTAATTTGTGTTGTGTTTACGCCGCCATGCTGGTATAAGATCGATGATAATCAAATCGATACCTAGATAACCACGCAGACCCACATTTGATTTTTGTCCTGAGCTTTTTATTTTATCGAAGACATAAACTATAACCCAGTAATCTTATTGAGCTCCATTTAACAAAGGTTTCATTACATTGGCCATTCCCATTGACTGAAACCTCAAGGAAAATATCTGTTTAACCTATTTTTCTAAATAACAGTTTTTCAACTAGTTCAGTCAAGGGACTATCTAACCTTCCATTTAATATTTCATTCATATTATAACTACGTTTTGTCCAAACATTTGTATTGAAGGGGCGGCAAAATATCGTAATTCGGGCCTCAGAAAAAATCGATTCATTCATTCATTCATCCAATAAAATACGAAGCCTAGATCCGTTCAAAATCGAAATAAACTTGCAGGTGTCTCTGGCCCGTTTCTATTCCCGTCCATTTCATATCGTCACCGAGCACAAACAATAAAAAATAATTTAAAACAAAATGTTTATTGTCCAAACAGGTATTACACCCAATTACAGGACAAGCAACATAATGAACACAGCAAACTTACTACAAGAATGATAAATAATAAGTTACAATTGAATATAAATTTACATCTCGATTCTGAAGAGAGTATTTCTTAAACAATTTTTGAAACATCCTATTGATGTTGAAAATAGATCTATTTGATCGCAGATATTAAAATGCCTACAGATTCGGTATACGGGAGACTTGGCTATTATATTTATTCTTGGTGTTGTTAGCGAGGCACATGGAAGTTGAGTTGTGATAGTAGATCTGGGCAATCCACAAGATTTACCTATGTGTAAGCTTATAAATAAATAAACATTAGTAATACTTTCTTCGGTCTTCGAGAGAGAGTAACGAAAATCTATTCAGCAGTGAAGTGTTGTCTATACCTTGATCAGGGTATATCCCATCAATTTTGAATGCAACAAATTTCATGAATAATATCTGTACTGACTCTATACTCTGACTATGTGTTGAATATATAGGGGACCATATAAGGCAACCATACTCTAACCGCGATCGCACATATGAGTTGAAGAGATTTATTTAACTTTCTTGATTCTGCAAAACTTTACAACTTCTGAATATCATGCCTAACATTCTTCATAACTCTGATCTTTTCCCTTCCAGGAACCTTCGTGGACCCCAGAGTGATCCCCGGCTTCTGCTACAAAGTGCGCCCCAACGACAGAAAAGACCACCTGTTCGCAGGCAGAGCCCTGCAGCTGCTCAGCATCGGCATGGGCTACGCCAAGAGACTGACTTTCCAGCCGGACTCTCTGCTGGAGCCCGACAATTACCTCTGGTCAGACAACCACCCGGACGGGTTGGGGTTGGAGCCGCGGGCAGTCCACAAGGGGATGAAGTTCTGGCTGGAAGCGGGAGAGATGGTGCTAGGAGAGGCGCAGGTCTTCAGGGACGATCATCCGCAGTTGGAAGTGAGGATGGAAAAGGTGGGTTGTTTTCTGACGCCAGAGGTCTTCAAACTACGGCCCACGACAGCTATATATATGTCTTATTCTTGCTGTGATGAGTTGGATAGAAAACAACAAATCGATAACAACTCATTCACTTGCTGGGTATACCTTAAAGACAAGTATAATATACACAGAAACTTCAACTTAAGCACAATGATTAACAAATAATAATTCAACTAAATCCCACTATTATAAAGTAGTGAACATTACGCGGTTTCACCCCCGTCGCTTTATGTAATTGTCATTTTCCATCATTTTACATGCCGTTTAAAAATAGTACTGTCCTCATTTGGGCACACTGTGATAGAAAGAGTTGAGAGTGCCTTCCATACCAGCTTCTTGCAGTAACTTTTTAAAGAAGAGGTGCTGCTATATATTTCTTCTACAAGCGTGCGTGATTCACCCTATACCCGCACGCAATTTGGTTTGGGAAGTGTCATTTTCCCACACTAGTGAGGGAAAAACATTTATACAATTTTCTCCCAAAATATGAGTGGTGGGTGACACCATCTGAAAATGTTAGGTTTTTTGTTGCAGTATTTAGTAATTTCATCAAATTACACTATTTATTGTGAAAATGAAGGAATATTGAAAAATAATAATTGATTGTTATATAAATCCCCCTATGTGGAAAACAATTGTTGTCATGTCAATCAAAACAAATTAGTTAGTGTTATTCTCAGAGTGACAGACAGAGCGTTACTGTCATTTTCAATTCAGTGGCATTGCGATAAAAAACTTCCAGCTACAGATGCGATACAGAAGAGATATTGCCAACGAAGTCTTAAGAAAGATATAAGAAGCACTACACGGGATTTATTGAATGGTGCAATAGTAAAAAAGTGAAAACACCAAATGAAGAAGACGCATGTTTGGCTCATTTCCTAGAAATGTCTGAAACCTAGAGGCCAAACACAATAGGCATGCTCGCTTCCGCAATAAGCTTACCTACATAATGCTTCAAACGGTACACACAATTGATATATTACTAATTATTAGAAGATAGTGAATATATCACTATTGTTAGCTGTTCCTATCTGCAGGAATAATTGATTGAACAATTCAATCAATTTCCTACACTTGTAGAAAAAATATTGTTCCTAACTCAAGCGGGAAATTTCCGCACTTGTTAGGAAAATTACAATTTAACCATTGCCATAAGAGCGGAAAAAACGCTGCGTTTTGTATGTCTGATGATTGATGAAATGTCAGACGGTTTAATCGCATTATCTGTCAGGAGAATATAATATTAGATCATAGATGTAGTAGATCAATGTTAGATCATAGATCTACATTCGAATCCTGATTTGATTGTGACATTAAAGATATGTTGTAGACAAATATTCGTGTAATTGTGATGAATGGAGATGGTGTTCGTCATGGATTCATATTACATGAAATAGCAGCAAGCAGAATATTGCAACACAGATGCCTAGTACTCCTATATTATGGGACTTCTTTGAAAGATAGACCTAGCAGGAGTCGATTTTGAGTTCATCCCATTAATACTGTTCATGCAAGGTTTCTGTATGGAGACCATCAAAACTTATTTCAAGATATGCGACTCACTCACACATTAGATGTTTCATATTTTCCACATTAATTCATAACATAACATCCCTTAACACACTTTTGGTATCAACATCTGTCGAAAATGTCGCAAGTCGACCATTAACGAAATTGAACTTTTTCCATTATATGTATTATTTATACAAATATTACTATCACAGTTTTAATGACTTTGACAGACATTCCCTCAGATATTTTTTGAAATGGCATAGCATCAAATTAGACAAAGATATGAACTATTTGCCGCTGATGAAAAAGCTGATGAGGATGCCAACTTTGAACCACATGGGTTAAACGAAGTGTTTATTGTTTCAGATAAAAACAGCCAAAGGATTCGCTATCCAAAAATACATCCACGTAGACGTCATGTGCCATATCCGCCTCGCACGAACAGGAGGTGCAACAACCGAAAACGAAGAACATCTGATGAGAGTCTCCGGATTGGCTGTCGTTAGAAAAGAGCCCAAAACGTCCACAGCTCGGGTGATCAGGGTGGAAAACGTCGGTCTGGATTCTCAGCTGCTTCTGCTTTTCGCTCAGACTCACACCGAATTGACTCTCATCCCGAAACTGATTTAAATATGGACGTGTTTCATCTATCTACACGGTGGTACAGATTTTCGTCTGAAGAACATTCATACAATAATACGTCAGAAATCCATGGGCGAGTGGACTGGTAGTGAATAATAATTCGCATTCGATTACTTCACTATGCTATGGTCTACCCCTACTTATGAAATTGTGACGTCAGTTTTTTTGCGGTAAATTTCTAGCTGTCGACCGAAAAAATCTAAAGAAATAAAAAAATTGCCCACTCGCCTATTTTCATCGAATGATAACGCCCTGTGCATCATTGCAGATATCCTTCAATCAAAGTTCTTTTTTCTTGAGAGTTTCAAACATCTCACATAACTAATGTGCAAAAATCTAGACCACCTGTACCTATATGCAACCGCCAAGCTGATAAGTATTGATAATGTAGCTACTATCCTTAATTTGAAAAGACTTATTTAGTGTTAGGCCGTTTGTTTTTCATGCATTTCTGCTTCGAAAATACTGATCTGTTATCGTCCAATCATTAGGATGTATGATAATTGTTATACAATCAAGTATGTGAAGACAATAATGCGATTTATTCTTACTCCTCTTTATTTTTTGTTATAGATTTTTTTATAATAAAATGTGTATCAATGACACTATTTTATTCACTAGATCACCGAACATATTTTACAAATATACAATATATCAATAATAATATATCTATTTACAAAATCATTAGATAATTATCTTTACCACCAGATATAAAATATCAGAAAACAAGGAAATCTGACATTGAAATAGTCATTATTGCAGCAATACTGATATTTTCCTTGACCTGGTTGGGCACTAAAACTTTTTTTCTTTCTTCAACACTTTGCTCGCACGTTGAAATATCTCGCTCATTAATCGCTCTTATCAATACACTAGTTGGTTAAATGAATAATTCCTCTGGAGTATTTTAGAATTAGGAATGTAGATTTTTGATCTGATAAACTACCCTGCACAAAACTGGCTATTGAAAAAAACTGTTATATTCTTGCACCCTCTGTATGTGCTGAGATTAATATCTGGATGAAAATATTCATCAGGGTATCATGACTGATGAAAATAATATTATCAAAATGAACGGTTCAGGAGAAATCGAGGGAGAAATTTTCTCTCAGGGCTATATATTTGAATAATATAAAAATATTATATGTCAGGATAGAAGCTCTTTCAAATGGATGATGAAAGTGGCGGCTTAACTTTAATGGACTTGAAAGAGAATTCCATTCATTGAATTTCAATATTTAGTAGGTAGTGAAACTAAAAATGCCAATGTTTAGTGCCCAACCTCAAATAATCATATAATCACAGTTCACAGTATATCTTAAGTAGAATGGAAAAAGATGCCTTTTAGTTCAGTCTCACACAGTTTTCTTACTTCCTCTGGAATAATGAGAAAATAAAAAGTATATCAGACACAATATACACTTTTCAATAAATAATATGAAAGTTTACCCCAGGACGAGCCCCAGGACTACAAATATTTCTGACAAAAAAATGAAACTGAGTTCAAGATCAAATTATCTGATGACTGATGCAATGATTTTAGGAATCAATTTATGGATGATTCATGAAAGAATACTAGACTACAGAAATTAAATACAACAGAAATGCAAAGATGGGGAAACTCCGACAAGATTCAAAAAAACTTACCACTTATATCTATTAGACTAGCATTTTTCTGTTGAAGAGCAATATAGAATTCTCTGGCATTGGAAGTTTTGCCTACCACCCAATAATCGCTCATTGTTTTCACTATGGTCTCTCCAGAGGATCCCAGATAGGAATTGTTAAGCTTCATGTCTGCCATAATTCTGACAGAATCTTTCATACAGGCCACATTTCCACTTTGCTTGTTATCCAAATGAACGGTACTCTTGTAAGCCAAGTTCATCTTGTTAAAATATATAAATCTGGGGGAATTATCGGCCATATTCGGAGTTATGACCTGCTTTGAACAGTATTCAGCTATGTCTGAGACCAATGATATCAATTTTGGGCTGATAAAATCGTCAAGATCTTTGAATATATTCAGAGTGAGTTCTGTTTCAACTACAAAAAATAACCACAAATACACAAAGCGGAATTATATTGGGAAATTAATCAAGTAAATAATCTACTTAGTGACTAGAAAGAAATTATTGGACATAGCCCTCACAAAGAGATAACCGTATACACGTGTTTCGGGCTTTCGGCCCTCATCAGTACGGTGAAAGGAAGTGCAAAGGATAGGCAGCACTTGGTAGAAAACGAAACAACAAATGAACGGAGTCAACGAACAGAAGCCAGCTGTTTATTTGTTGTTTCGTTTTCTACCAAGTCCTGCCTATCCTTTGCACTTCCTCTCACCGTACTAATAATCTATTTAGACTTAATAAACATTGTCCAATTAATTAGGTCATTTTATTTCTCATCTATTCTGAAATTTACCATGTTTTGGTTGAAAAATACCTTTTACAAATAAGCAAACAGTTGCACTCAATGCCCTGTAAACCACAAGATAATATTCCTCTGGTTTTTGTTCACCATAAAAGAAAACTTTAGGAACCTTCCCCACTGTTTTGGCCAACCTTAAATTTGATGGACCTGTAATGAACCGGCCATGCCTGAGAGCTGCAAAAGGAGATGGTGAATTTCTAGGCATTGAACCACCTTGTAATTCTGTTTCTATATTGGCAGGCAAAAGAGTATCTATCAAATAATGATAAACAAGTTGCATGTCACTAGGTTCTATTCCACTCCTACAATAGAAATTCTGATGTGACCAAAATATGTATTTTTTTTTATGAAATAAATCATCATTACATAGCTGAAGGACTTGAAATGTCTCTTTCAGATAATGACTCATCAGTTATTTGTTCTTTCTTTTTTCTCATATTTTCACAAGATGGATGAAGAAATAATGAGAATGAGGGTGATAATAATTACCACCCCATCCAAGTGATGATTAAGGAATAATGTACCACTTAAAATAAATCCATCTCATGATGAGTTTTACTTACCATATTAAATAATCATTATACAGGAATGCAGAATGTGATATCATCATATAATTAGATTCCAATGAATTGATAAAGCATTGCACTTTCAGAAACGTTTGCTTATCTAATGGCAAGTACTGAATTCCAGAAAATATATTCAAAATATCTGCATTAACCAACTTTAGAGATTGCAAATACTGAAAATTATCAATGGTTTATAGATACAGAAGTTATTTAGAATACCTTTAAAATACGCACTGCTCTATAAAATATTTCTAAGGTCATTTTGAGAGTATCTGTGTCTTTAGTACCCTGAAATGTGCCCCAAAATAGTCTATACATATGGTAAGCTTGTTTTAGGACAGCTTCATAAACATTGTCTTGTACATCATCTCCAAGTTCCCCTGAATCTCCTTCAAGTTTCTCTTTGGTAATATGATTCAGCTGAATAGTCTGGAATAATGTGAAAGTAATAAAATGACTTTGTCCTGGAAAGTCAACTCACAACCACTGTAATATACTAGCCATTGGACAGAATATAAAGACTACACCCCTATGGAAGCACATTATCATAGTTCTCTTTATAGGTACCCTTCATGAAGGATCACTCAATACTTATATTTATGTATGTGAACAGGTGATTTACATTATCCCAAGTATTTGTACAATCAAAATTCTATATTTCAACGATTTTTGAACTGCAATATAAACCATCTCAATGGGAGTTTTCTGAACTAATTTATCTTTCTGCAGCACATAATCAAAAAATTTAGATGAGGATAATAAGTAAATGATATATGGTGAGCTCAGTAGTCAATTTTTGTAGGAGAATGATATTCTTCATGAAAAATAAAATAAGGTGATGACTGTTTATATTCAATGTTTGATTTAATGAGAGATATTTGAGATGTCCTGAAATTCATCTGCTAGCTCAATGGTTAAGGGAGCTAGCAAAACCTCGAGCAAAACACATGAGTAAACAAAAACAATGTGTGAAGAAATATCCAATAGACTAGAATTGTAGCCAAAATTAGCCTTAAATTTGAGTATAATCAGTTTTGTGATTGAACTTTTATTTACCAAATGGTTTTGCATGCTAGCTAAATGTTGAGCTAGCAGGACCTAGATATTTTTGCATAAATGGAAGAGCAATAAATTCTTCAACTTTGTACTGAATCAACCTTGAATTAACCTTCAATTTCAAATTTCAAAATCCAAAGTGGTTCTGCTGCGAACTTAACAGAGGTGAACAACCAGGAACAACTGGTAACTAAACAATGATCAACAGCAAAAGTTATTACATATATGACTAGTATTTTATAGTCAGGTGTGGCTCACTTTTTATCTTATTTGATACATCAAAAGCTTGTTCAGTAAAACTCCTTGACTGAAATCAATAACTTTGTTCTAGAGTCTACTTAGACATGGAGTTTTATAATACCATAACCATCCAGTACCCCTTTTCTGGTTGATAATAAAGCTGCCTCGATTTCTCTGTATGCACTGAACTAACTGAAGAACTTGGTCGGAAAGTCCTGTGGACAACAATATTGCATAATCCCATCTAATTCAGTGAAAAATCTTTCACATTTCCTACTCACTCAGTGAAATGGATAATTCCTTCAACAAGTCCCACATTTTTAATTTGAACGTCTGTATTATCGCTTATTGGATAGTAGTACAATATTTTTTCCAGCTCCTGAAATAATATTTATGAAGTACAGGTTGAAAATTCTTGAAAACCACTCACATCTCCTTCGCTAGTACTCAAGGAGGAATTGAAAACGAAAAAATTTTTCAACCCTGCAATGATTTGGGTTACCATTTCAATTAAAAACGATGTTATTTTTCAAAATAACAATAATAAAGTATTCATTTCTCAAATTTCAACTCTCAACAACCCCAAAACTCGTACCAGTCGGTCGTACTGCAGGTTAAGTGAGGTTACAATGTCAACACTGTCAACAGCGATTAGCGAATCAGCGATGTGAACATAGGCACACATAGGTGTCAAAGAGATCTAATAATATTATTATAGACCGGGAGCCAACGACATTATTTAATGTCTTATTTGGAAAAGCTTGGTTTATTTTATTATCTGTAGTTATATTGATGTTGTAATAATATAGCTTTTCATAAGTAATATCATGATGTTCTGAATATTCGAGATAATTATGTCGCTTCATTCTACATTGTTCACGAACGTCAGAGGACGAGTCGTGCAACACAATTGAGTTAACAAAAATTAAAGACAGAATTATGTGAAGATATTCTGAACAGAGTGGTATTTCGCTGGACTATTTCACGTTCACGAAGCATAAGAATGAGCATTTACTATAAATGAGTAATTATCATTATTATGACAAGTGCAGCCATGATTATTTTATGCCAAAAACTGACAGACTTTGCTTCGCTATCCATGGCTACATCCAGACCACATCCAGACTTTGCTTTATTGTTATCCATGGTTACATCGATGAAAACATCAACACTGATAAAACAATATATAATAATTGAAAGTCAGCTTATGTTCTCGTGATAGGCACACACGTTGTCTCTGGCTTGTGAGTGGTCAGATTATGTGATGAATGATATAGTCACCAAAACCCACTCCTGCCACCTCAATCGCGGGACAGCGCTTATCAGCAGCTTATCAATGTTGTTGAAAGAAAAACTATATAGGGTCCATTTTGATGTAAATTGGCGTATTTGTCATCTTAACAGGGTACGGACATATCCTCGTCTCCTCTTACTCTAAGTGTTTGTGAAACAGTCATATAGTTCCATCTTCATTCATTTTTGGGGATGATAAACACTATAGATCTCTGACATTTGTTGTTTTTTAGGTTATATTAAGGACATTGGCGTATCATAAGTGATTTCCATATGTAATTTCTCATTCAACTCTACATATTATATCCAAATAATGATGATGATAATTTTCGAGTTTTTGATTTTTCAACTCCAGCATAATCTTTGTGACGCAGTGAGCAAATGGTTCTGAATGTTTAATACGTTTTACCAAATGGGACTGAACGAATTTTCATTTCAGACTGAGCCTTTTGGTTGAGAAATGGTGAAAAATTGTATGTGCTCATCATATGTCATGTGTGCTGTATATATTCATGTTGGGAATCATTTTGCAGTTTTTCACGAACACTCAATATTTCCTGAATGTAGGTATAATTTTTCAAATGGTAGGGCATTATGCCTCTTCTTTGAATCCTCCGTTTTAATCAAAACTGTTCAAGTAAAATGCTTTCAAAAACTTGTGGAGTGGATAATTATAGGCACACTGAGAAAGTACAATATGTGATTTCGTATAAGTTTTACCACGAATATTTCGCTGATGTATTTACCAATTTTCCCCATTCGGCACTTTACTACTTTCCATGTTCTAAGATTATTTGCATTTGATGGAAAGCTGACAAATTCAAATTTGCCATCCAACTGATTGATACAGCCTAACGCAGCACATTTTACCATCCTTCCAAAACAGAATTGAATGTTGTCGTATTGAGATCAAGTATGAAATACAAATTTTGTAAGATCTTTTTCAACGCCTATGAATGTGACGTGACAACAATGTCATGTCAGGGAAGCCAATACACGAAACCAGTCACTAGATGATTAAAAGAGGAAGGAGCTATGATCTGTCCGTACCCTGTTAGATGACAAATACGTCAGTTTGCATCAAGAGGCCCTAAGAAAAACGAGTGAATGACAAACCTGATAAAAGCTGAAACTTTACCAATCGTTCAATATGACATATCAGTTAGAATAAAAATCACCTCCTGCCACCTGTCTAACTTATAACAATGTACCCCTGCCATAGATATCTAATGATGTGAAAAAAAGTGTCCCAGAATAACAAAACGTATCATAAATTCTACAGGGTGAACTACAGGCCGATCGAAATCAACTAACATCTATACGAAAATGCACCGTTGACCTGCGTGAGAGGGCACTGAAATATAATTCATTTATTCTCTTTGATGAAAATTGATCTAACTTTTCTGGAGTACGCCACTAACGATATTTTGTTATTCCAATGAATGACAAAATCAATGATCTAACTTTTTCATAACTACAGTTTTTATATGATCTTTTTTTACTTTCGAGATATAACATAATTAATTTTGGTGCTTTTTCATACTTGTTTATGATGTGTTATCGCGGAACGTTTGGATATTCGCCAAGGGAACATTTTCCCCTTTCATTTGCTCTTTGTTTCAACTCGTTATGACATATGACGGAAGTTGCAGCCGACTCTCCTACCATATATTTTGGCCTGATCGAATCGCACGACTAATAGCTGATGAGATATAAAGTGAGACACGCTGAAGGCAACGCTGTATAGGTATATTTATATGAATTTCTCTGGATTCTTTGACATTTTCCCTCCTCGTTTCTATTACACTACACTGTTTTACGCCTCGACACGTGTTTCGCTAACTATGTAAGCATCTTCAGGAGAAGATTAAAACTAAAAAGTCGGTTTGGTTAGTGGTAAAACAGTGTAGTGTATTATCGTGCCAAATAGGTTTCAGTCTTCGATAAACTCGTTTCTATTAAATATTATAGTGCTTTTTATTTGGATATATAAATACGAAGGGTTAAATATAAATACAACATATGTCTTTGGTTTTCTGTATTGAGTAATACCACTTCTCAGTGACAGAAGTATTGATAACAAAGAAGTGAAGTATATACGTCCAGGATGTATTTATTACTTCTGATCTTGAATTTCCCATTTTCATATTCAGATTTTATAGGAAGCATAGGTATATACTTAGGTATGATATAGATAGATAGGTACCTAACTGTAATTGTTTATTTCAATTGTTGAAAGATCATTGAATTAACAATGATTTGACATGAAACTCAGTTTTGTGAGATTGAAAAAACCCACAAACTGTATTAGAGTAGAGGTATATATCAAGCAAAATAAGAAATAAGGAACCATTGATTAAAAGAAATTCGATTTATTTCAAGTAGTTTTACTATGTGAAATGAGAAGTGAAAGCCTTAGATCGATTCGACAATAATTTACATTATTATGGGTACAACATTTACATTCAGAATCACAAATAAATTCCTTATGAATTATACAATCGCTCAATCCGTGAAAACGTCCTCATCGCTTCTGAACTTTCTGTTGGTGATCTCATCAGTGATCCTCAAGTGTTTGTCCAAATCCCCACAATCCACAAATAAACTGCAACAAATCAAAATAAATAAATTATTAGGTATACCGCTAACACCTATCGCTTATGCGTTAACAATGCGGTTACTTTACAGCACTAGTACCTACGTAAAGTGAAAAAAATGATTTCAAATTTCAGTTGTGTTTACTCCACCTGAAGGATTACAATTATTACCTGTTCGATGAACCTTCATATTAGGAAAATAAGCACAAAATCTACATTAATATACAGTGTACCCGATTAACTTGAACGGGTTGATAGCAAATACATATTATTACCTATTAAAAAAACAAATTCAACAGTGGTGAACTATTGAGGTCTAGTTGATCGTTAAGTATAATCTTAGAATTTTTGAGTTTGTTGATTTCTAATGATTCAAAATGATTGAGTTTCATTCCTTTATTTTTTAAGTGTTGTACGAAATTCTACACGCGAAGTTTATTTTTTCAAATATCATTGCATTTTTAGATTCTACATTGACTTTTTCACAAGTTTGATGGACAGTTTTATATCACTAAGGTTTTGGAATTTCACTTTCCTATCCCAACCTTCATTTGAAGCTTTTAACATATTTCGTAATATAAAATAAAGAAGTTACAGGAGAGGAGGCGATGGACTTTTGGTCCTCACTATATATACATATTTCAAAATATTCTTGTATATGATATGTGTATATATACACGAACTCCCTGATTACACTTTTTGAAATAAGTTGTAATATACAGTTCTCAACACACTGAATGGACCACTCATAATTTGACTCTATTTTGAAGACCTGTATTTTTTTAAAAAATTGACCGATCTTCATGCGGTTTTCGATATCAGATGTGATGTTTCATCGACTTCAAAGAGAGCTAGATCACTCTGGAAAACTCCGCAGAACAAAACTTACACAGGGTGTGAAGTGGAACCATCACACTATGGTCTACATTTTCAATGCTGCCAGAACTCGAGAATTTTTTTCTCATAAAAGTCAGTTATATTTATGTATGATACACCGGGACCTCATCTCGAAACATTTTCGTGATTTCTCCTTAATTGGTCATTGGAACAAAAATTCGATTTTTTTCGAAAGTCTTGCATTTCTTGAAGTTTTTCTCTAGAACTCCACTTGAGCTGACTATTGGGAAGGACTGTTCTCATGTTTCGTGGAGGACAATGAATGGCGAAAAGAACACTATTGTTGAATGTATAGGATGATAAGATAATAGGACAAAATCTAATTTCAGTGAAAAAAATCAAAAATTGTGACTAAAACCATGGCTCATTCGATTCAGTATATTCAGAAACGGCCTTCTCGATATCCATTATTTATATTAGACTATCAACTCGAGACGTTTCCGAAAATTCGCCTCTAATTGAAATACCGGATGAAAATTTTCAATTCAAACTTGTTTCCTGATATCGATGATTCTTATCAACTGATTTCCAATATTTATTGCCCAAGTATGAGACACAGAGTATTGTTGTTCAATATACTGAGTGTTTCACAACTTATCTGACAAATTACGAACTATAGAAAACAATAATGTTAGAAGAATGAGGTGACCAGCATTATCTCCAGATCTGAATTTGATTGAACATGTGTGGAGCCGAATGAAACTTAACCTATCGAGAAGGCGAGAGGCACCCCAAAATAATGACAACCTCATCTAAGCTATATCAGAAGATGGGAGGTAATATCAATAGACTTCATCAACAATCTCATAGAACCTACACGGAAAAAAAGGATTTGTTGCATCAACAAATTATTCATGCTTAAGTTATTTTTGTTGGACTGAGCAATTTATTGTTGAATCAATCAGATACATGATTATTCCATGGAAGCAGCTTGTTCAAATCAAGAATGTAGTCTGATTGAATCAACAGTATAATATTAATTCCATCAACAAAATATATGGTTTCTTCAAAAACAAATTATGTCGATCCAAAATAATGTCGATGTTGATTCAACTTTAAACATTTTGTTGATTCGATCGAACAATGATCATTTTGATGAGAATATATCTTTGAAACAACATACAAGTTGTCTTATTCCGATGTATCAATGAACTCGTTTCGAACGGATTATTTGCTTGAAAAGAGCAACGAAATATGTAATATCAATGAAATATTTTGTTCATTCTACATCAACTTAAATTTTCGCCTCTAGATGGCGATCATTTCGCCTCGTCTATGCCTGCCTCGAGTTCATTATATACGTGAAGCTTGATTCTTCGTGTTTGTTATATCAGCTAGATAAGTCGAACTCAGGATGATTATAGCAATCCGAAATAGTTTTCCATCAGCTAAAGAGAAGTAAAGACTAAAGATCTATGCTAGGAGTCGACTAGTTTCCTAGTTTTGTTTATTCTATTGATGTGAAATTTCAGAAAATTCCCGAATATTGAATTTGGTTCAACAAAACAATTTGTCGAATGGATATATAATTTCTCTTGAATCAACAAAATATTTCATTGAATTAACCAAATATTTCATTGAATCAACCAAATATTTCATTGAATCAACCAAATATTTCTTTGAATCAACCAAATATTTCGTTGAATCTACTAAATATTTGATTGAATCAATATCTTGTTATTTTGAATCAAACAAAATGTTTGTTTGAGTCAATTCAATATCTCTTCATGAACAATATATGGATGTGCTTGATTGAAGAAGATCCAGAGTTCATGCAAGACATATTTACTTGATTTTAACTTCGAATTCTCTCTGAAACAAGACATAGATTTACTCATTTCAAGATTATATTTTGTCGTGCAAATATGACACTTATATTTGCTTCATTCAATCACATTTTACTCGATTCAACAATTCCTTTTTTTCCGTGTATGCCAAACCGATTTCATGAGGTTTTGTTAAATTGGGGAGGCCCTACTCAGTACTGAAATTTAGGATATAAAACTTTCTAGCTGGATCTTCATAATGCTGAAGAATTCACTAATGTCATATTTTGCCAATAGTGTTATAAATTTTATTTTCCATGTCGTTTTACTTCTATAAAATTATTATGTGATCGACTTCTTATGTTATATTGTAGTTGTGGTTGAAATTTGTCAGATAAGTTGTGAAACTCTCAGTATATTGAACAACAATACTTTGTGTCTCATACCAGGGCAATAAGTATTGGAAATCAGTTGATAAGAATCATCGATATCAGGAAACGAGTTTGAATTGAAAATTTTCATCCTGTTTCTCAATCAGAGACGAATTTTCGAAAACGTCTCGAGTTATAGTCTAATATAAATAATAGATATGGAGAAGGCCGTTTCTGAATATACTGAATCGAATGGGCCATGGTTTTAGTCACCATGTTTGATTTTTTTTACTGAAATGAGATTTTGTATTATTTTCTTATCATCTTGTATATTCCACAAAAGTGCTCTTTTTGTCATTCATTGTCCTTCACGACACATGAGAACAGTTCTTCCCAATAGTCAGCTCAAGTGGAGTTCTATAGAAAAACTTCAAGAAATGCAAGACTTACCAAAATAATCGAATTTTTGTTCCAATGGCCAATTGAGGAGAAATCACGAAAACGTCCAGAGATGAGGTCCCAGTGTATCATAATATGACTGACTCTTGATCAGAAAAAAAATTCTCGAGTTCTGGCAGCATTGGAAATGTAGACCATAGTGTAATGGTTCCACTTTACACCCTGTGCAAGTTTTGTTCTGCCGGCTTTTCCAGAGTGATCTAGCTCTCTTTGAAGCCGATAAAACATCTCAACTGATATCGAAAACTGCATGAAAATCGGTCAATTTTTAAAAAAAATACAGGTCTTCGAAATAGAGTCAAATTATGAGTGGTCCATTTAGTGTGTTGAGAACTTTATATTATCTCTGTTGTGTTTCTACGACTCTAAGAGTGATGCATGTTGACTTAATAAGTTCATTTTGAAGAAAATAAGGTACATTTCTCTTGTCACACGCGGTGACCTCAATTTATATTTCTGTTTCATAAAAATAACAAACTTCGCAGTTTTAAAATTCCATCATCGATCATTCCGTGAACAGTTTTCAGAATTTTTTTCGTTGATATATGAAAATTCAATTCTGCTCATATTGAATAGCTCTTCCTAAATTCCTTTTAAACTTCATTCAGTCAGAAAGTTAGTTTATAGCCTTCTATATGGTGAATTCTAATATAACAAAGATCTCCTCGGAAATCCTGTGTCTTATTTCTGCGTTAGTTAGATCCTTCGAAATCGCAAAAAGATTCTTGTCCGTTTGTTCCCTTCTCAATTTTTCATTTCGGCGGTTCCTTGCGTTTTCTGATAAAGCATTTCTGTGAGAGACTTCAAGAAAATAACGAACTCTTTTGTAACCTCAGTATTGCAATTATTCCATCACATATACCTACCCACAAACGTCAACAAAACATACCCAAGGGGATGAAAAAGTAGACGAAACATTATCTTTTTTATCGAGATGCCCGGAGCATCTAAAGATGTTTCCATTCATTATAAGAAAAAAAAACTATGAATGATGATATACTCAAGTACACAGTGCGACTTTAAAAAAAAACTCCGACAAAAAATGGATAAAAAGTTCGAGCACTAATAATTATCACGAATTACGTAAGGGATAGACGAGTAGACTAATTTTTTTATTACTTTCATATTGTCGATGAAAGACGACTCTGGGGGAATATAATGCCGACTTGATTTTAGTCTGGCTAGGCTACGCTGAGTCAGCGGTCTTAGGACTGCTGGCTGGAGACTACCTTGCACTGATGAGAGTCAAAGAGCTCTAAACCGGTCTGTAGGTGTCTAGCGTGGCCTGGCTAAATCGAAATCAATAGGCATTCAGAAAAGAATCACTTGTATCAGTATTCGTTTATACGAGTCGATGCATAGATTTCGGGAGGATATAATTCAATGTTCTGCGTGGCATTAGCCAGGAAAGTAGTTGTTTTTCTCCCGTCTACCATTTTTGTTCATTTTATGAACATTGTGTGGAAATGACTTTGAGATTTTTGTATTTATTTTTATAATATTTTGTTATCAGATGATGGTCGAAATTTGGAGCTGGCTCTCCTGCTATAATAACCATGATGTAATTCAATCCACTGCAGATCTGCCGAAAAATGGATTAATTAATATTCCACGCTAAATTGAACAACACTATATAGGTAGTACAAACAACCATTTATCGTTCGCGTTTGTTGCTCGCTCGTAATTGGTAAATAATATCATTATCGTGATTGAGTTAATAACGATCATTACAAACATCACGGAATTCGTTAATACAATTTGTGATTGGTTGAGATATGAATGTGTGATATATTGATTTGAATATCTATATGAGTATTGAGTATATGCCTGTGATCAAGATCAAATGAGAATTTACGAGTTTTCAGAGAGAATCATTCGTTATCATTTACTATGTCAACGTTCATTCAAATATTAGATAATTAGTTATAGGTGATATTCCAGAGAGAGAAAATTGACGAATGTGACGTGTGACGTATGATATTGATGACTTTTCAATATTGTAGGTCATGAAGTGACAATAATTTACCAATGCTTACTTGAAACTTTGTTACCATCTTAGATTCAATATTTCAACATTCAAGGCTCATTTTGATGCCGGTAATCATTTACTTGATATATTTTAATAGAAAAATGCACAAATTCATTCACATGTGATTCTAGAAGGTGTATATGCATGTCAATTTATTTTCAGACCTTGGCTGAAGGCTTCAGGACGTGTCCTCGGTTTGAAGACACTATTGCTTTTCTAGTTAGTAACAAAGCCTGCACAGAACACACAATGCAGAACACTTTCGGCTAATGGACCTCAATGGTGATGGTTGACCAGTTGGTGTGTACATATATACCATCGAAGTGCATATACTACTATACTATTTCAGCTATCAACATAATCACAAATGTTTATTGGAATGATATTGAAAGAAACAATTTTCTGGTCGCTGAGATTCAATTTGACATCACAAGTAGAGCGAAATGAGAACAATTTTTCATCTGAACAAAAAAACAGGAGATGTACTAATTCCCTTGTGTGCACAACGCGAGACCACCAACTTTCTGGCGAGGAATAAAATTAATCTTCGATTGAGTTTCTTTTTTTCCACTACTATGACATTTTTCAATGAGTTTTTCACTAATTTGCAAAAGAAACCTCACCTGCCATATTGAAATAGACGAAAAAATAGAATGAAACAGTTGATTAGCAAAGGCAGTATGGAACCATGTTCATTAGTCTAAAACAAATGTCTTCTCTTGCGAATAAGCTGAATAGTACGGGTTCCTATCAAGAGAAGGGACATTTGCGCATGCTCTTCAGAATTTGGCTACAATATAAATACACTAGGCGACTGAGTAAAAATTATTAGAGTTTTGTCTCCATAGCGCAACCACTAGTACAAAAAGGGTTAATAAAGACATGATACATTAATTCGGTCATAAAAAAACGGAGATTCTATAGGGGGATAAATGCCTTACCTATGTCATTACTCACATCTGATTATCGATTCAGAAACTGTGATTTAAAATCAAAATTGCAGGTTCTATTATTATTCTATCAATTTATTTCTCGAAAGTGATACCTTCATCCCTTATATCCCCATATCATTTTGGAAGTATTCAATATTCGTTGATCAACAGAAATTGGCTTACTTCATTGGATAGCTTAGGTGACATTTTAGTGATGTATATGAAGAATTGAAATACAATTAATTACTATGAACTCTATGATGATAATAAGATGATAAAACAAAGATTCAGGAATGTTCTGATTCACACACATCGTGAATATATGAATATACTATAAAGGAGAAATTATTATTAACACCAAGCTTCCATCTTATGTATTGCCTCCACAGCTGTGTTATCTGCTAGCTAGTTTTCTCTCAAACAGGTCTCTCCATGTAGTGGTCGACGGACTTTCATCTGACTCTCGTCATGAATGATGGTGTCCCGCAAGGGTCAATTCTAGCACCAGCACTGTTTCTACTCCATATCAACGATTTGTTGGAAGCAACTTTATGTCCAGTACATAGCATCGCGGATGATAATACCCTCCATACCGTCTTCTCTTCCAGGGCTCCAATACCAGCCAGGCGAATCAGAAACGAACGAGGAAGCAATGTTGACAACATAAATATGGACTTGGCAACAATTCTCGAATGGGGATCCAATAACTTGGTAGATTTAAATGCAAACAAAACACAAGCATGCCACTTCTCTAAGAAAAAAACGATCTCACTGAGCCCAACATGAGCTTGTCAGGAGTAACCATACCTCTGAAAACATTTATTTCGATGCTTGGTATTACTATGAGCAATAACCTTCCTTGGTAAAATCACGTGAGAGAGAATTGCTAAAAGTGCATCCCAAAAACTTGGTTTTCTGTTTCGGGCCAGCAGCTATTTCACTTTCAGTCAGCTGCTTATGATCTATAAGGCACAGATCCGACCTGTCCTGGAATACTGTTCTCATACCCTGAAACTGTTGGATTCTGTTTTAAAAAGGGCGATTTGTCTCGTGGGTGATGCCTCGCTCACAAACTCACTCACTTCTCTGAAACACCGTAAAGTTGGCGATCTGGCTCTATTTTATAGATATTTTCATGATGGAAGATGCTCTTCCAAAATATCAACAATTGTTCCTCCCTCGGCAGTCTCCGCGAGATTAACCCGTCGAGTTGAGGTTTCGCACCCCTTCATGGTCACTTTGGCGACCTTAAATTGTTCTAAAATTGTTCTTATCCATCATTCGGTTGCCCCCTTACAAGCAACTCTCAAAAGTATTCAAGAGACTTGTGCGAGCAGGGAATGACGGGGGTCTTACCTTCTAACTTGTGATCCCAAATACTTTCTTAGGCCATCAGAAAAATTTCGGCGGTCGTGGTGGGACTCGAACCCACTACCGGTAATCCAACGTGGATAAAACATTGACGCTCTAACCACGAGGCTACGCTGCAGAACATATCTTTCCAAAGACTCGTTCATCCAACGAACAGCGAGGCTCTGGAACACATTGCCAAGGGAAGTGTTCCTCGAGGCATATACCCTCCAGAAATTTAAGAAGGACGCATTATTTCCGTTGGTACTCGCGTTGTTCTCTGAACATTATAGGATATCTTTTTACGTGGGAACCAGAACATAAAAAAAAACAAAAAAACAATCACTACTAGCGACTTATTGGATTTCACTACAAGACTTCTGACCACTTTGATTATGCATGGATAACGGAAAACCTTGTGGAAAGAGTTTTTGTTAAAGTAACTTGTTAACATGGATTAGATAGTATAGTAGCTATAAGAGTTGCTGTTTCGAACTTTATACATGAATAGATTTCCCAACAATAGTAAGCTGAATAGTTTTTCCAGTCACCTCTTCACAGGATTACATGTATTCCACGCTGAGGTAAAACAGGAAATATATTCACCATCCAGCTACCCTTTATTCTCCAAGTCGGGAACACTATAGATCATATTAACGATTGACGAAAAAATGGTAGTTCAACCTACGCCTACTTTCTCGAAACCTTTGCCGGACTCTATGGCAACATGTTTTTGTACTTTACCCGTGTCATCAATTTCAATTGATTGATTCTTGATCCATTCACTCTATAGGTATTATAAAATCCCTTTCACAAAATAAAAGCGCAGACATGAATGAACGTAGGTATTGGAATTTTCAGTGAACATTCTTGAGCTTGTGCCTCATATTATAAGTACTTATATGAAAGTTAACTTCAAATGGAGGTGTATAAATAAGATTTGATATCACCTGATAATGACAAACACTATCGGTCTGCAAGTATAGTTATACATTATCTAATACAATTCAATCACAATTCGGCATCTAGGTAAGAATGAATTATTGCAACAGTATTCGATTATAGTATTTTTTCATCTTATGGAGCGCACGAATGAAAATTCCTATAATGTTCGTGGAATATCGTACGTATGTACCTAGGGATAATAACTGGAATTGGGGAGAGGATCTCGGAAACTTTTGAAAGTGATACGAATTCGGTTGAATGAGAAAGAAATTGCGCATTCGGAGGTTCATACCAACAGCCTTAGAAGATTTTCAAAATAGTTTATAGTTTTTCAGTTATATCGAAAAAAATGAATTTTTAGACAATCTTTTTTTTCCTACGTGATCATTAGAGATACAGAAAACTGAGAATATTTTTCCATATATAGCAGCTTCTGACAAAATTCAACGTGTTGATATTGATTTCTCTACGCGACGTTAAGTATTCGTGGACCCATGATCAACTTTTGTTTTTTAAATATGGCCCTGATATATTTTCCACATATTCTGGAAGTGTTTTAGTCAGTATTGAACCATGTGTTATACAAGATGGTTCGAATACATACATTAATTTCCTTCAAGTATTTCATAATACATGTTTGACACACTTGTATTATTGATAACTACGCCTTCTTGGGCCGAAGAAAATACATCTTCATTCTCATTCTATGTCTATGGACATGGATTACGCATTTATGTTCATCCCAGTTTTTGAAGGAATTTTTTGGCACAAATTCATGCAATAAATTAGTATTCATTTTTTCCATGGAAATGAAGCACATAGTTAAAACAATACTAGACACCAAAATGTTGTATTTTCAGTTGGCCAATAGATAGAGAATTCAAAAAAATCAGTGGCGCACATTTGAAAAACGGTGGAAAATAATATTCGGTAGGTTGCTCCCGGAAAGCCACTGAATTTCATAATTTCAATTGAATTATGTCCATATCAGCCTCTCGTGACAAAAAATAGCATTGCCTAATTTCAAGAGAATCACACTGTATGTTGAAAACTATACATCTACGGACCCACGTGCATATCAAATGAATTTCTTATTATATCATGTAGAATCACCCCCTTGATTTTTGTGCATAATTTCCGGACACCCTGTTTTTCTCAGAGCAAATCTTACCATTTCAGCTGATTCATATCGATGTTCCTCTTGCCGTACAACCTAGCCCCCGAAAATGCTGGTATCCGTTTTCCGCACGTGTTTCCAAAGCATTCTGAACCCCTCTTTCCATAGCCTCTGGCGGTGAAGAGGTCCATGTCTTGGAAGGCCCTTTGCGAGATTTTCCTCGTTGACCTTCGAAAGAGACAAAATTGAGGTAATTTTGCGGTGATTTTGCTCTTATCATTCAATGGGTTTTTCTCCGAAAAGTTTTTCTGTTACTCACGTATATTTGACTGAAAAATACAAATGTGATGATGAAAATGTGAACAAATGATTATTTATCGAGATATTTCAAGGAAAAGATAAGGGGGTGCTTACACGGAAAAAAAGGAATTGTTGAATCAAGCAAAATTTAATTGAATGGAGCGAATAAAAGTGTCATATATGCACGACAAAATATAATCTTGAAATGTGTAAATCTATATCTTGTTTCAGAGCGAATTTGAGGTTTGAATCAAGTAAATATGTCTTGCATGAACTCTGGATCTTCTTCGATCAAGCACATCTATGAATTGTTTATGAAGAGATACTGAATTGGCTCAAACAATCATTTTGTTTGATTCAAAATAACAAGATATTGATTCAATCAAATATTTAGTTGATTCAACGAAATATTTGGTTGATTAAAAAAAATTTGGTTGATTCAATAAAATATTTGGTTGATTCAATTGAATATTTGGTTAATTCAATGAAATATTTTGTTGATTCAAGAGAAACTATATATCCATTCGACAAATTGTTTTGTTGAACCAGATCCAATATTCGGAAATTGTCTGAAATTTCACATCAATAGAATAAACAAAACTATGAAACTAGTCGACTCCCAGAATAAATCTCGAGTCTTTACATCTCCTTAGCTGATGGAAAACTATTTCGGATTGCTAATCATCCTAAGTTCGATTTATCCAGCTGATATTCCAAACACGAAGAATCAGGCTTCACGTATATAATGAATTCGAGGCAGTCATATAGACGAGGCGAAATGATCGCCATCTAGAGGCGAAAATTTAAGTTGATGTAGAATGAACAAAATATTTAATTGATTTTACATATTTCGTTGCTCTATTCAAGCAAAGGATCCGTTCGAAACGAGTTTATTGCTACATCGGAATAAGAAAACTTGTATGTTGTTTCAAAGATATAATCTCATCAAAATGATCATTGTTTGATCAAATTAACGAAATGTTTATAGTTGAATCATTATCGACATTATTTTGGATCGACATAATTTGTTTTTGAAGAAACCATATATTTTGTTGATGGCATTGATATTATACTGTTGATTCAATTAGCCTACATTCTTGATTTGAACAAGCTGCTTCCATGGAATAATCATGTATCTGGTTGATTAAAAAAAAAATTGCTCAGACCAACAAAAATAACTCAAGCATAAATAATTTGTTGATGCAACAAATCCTTTTTTTCCGTGTACGTAAAAAGTGCGACAAAATTCAATTTTTCAGAACTGAACATTTTCCAGGAAAAATATGAATATAGTTAGTGAATTGGACGTCCTAATTCCGAATCCGAAGTGATTTTCTCCTAATATCATTTTCCGGAAATTGGGGTGATTCCATGGCTGTTGGCGAGCAGTATATAGCACTGAAGATGACCCCACTTGGTCATAGAGTGCATTTTTGGTACATCTCTCGCTCCAGCAAATTTCAGGATCCTTACCCAACGACACGGATTAACAAACCTTATTGTTAATCTGTGCCAACGATTACATAAGATACAGAGGTGTTTCCATTAAAAATGGGTCACACTATATAATTTCGTTATCAGATGACTGTCGAAATTTGCAGCCGGTTCTTGGACTATAAAGGGTGCCACAAAATAATAGTTCTTTCGAAAATCAGTCGAAGTTCGAATAAACAAACAGAATATTCCTGTAAGACAAGTAGATTTCAATACTGGTACTATGAAGTATGTCAATTTAATCTAAATCTAAATAGCACAAATAGTAATGAAGAAGAATTTAATATGAATCCTTCGCTACTTTTGATATCGAAATGAATATTTCAAAATATGTGGAAATATTGTGATGCCAATGGAACATCTTGGTAAAGAATATCTTATGTTTTAAATCACCTGGATGAAATAACAGCGGTATTGCATCTGGGTAATTTTGTCGTGTGCATAATAATATTTTATATTCCTACGCTTCACATGGATTTTGGAATGCGGAACAAAGATATAATATGCAGTAATTGAAAAAGTCACATCAACAGTTTGAAGAAAAATGTCAATTATTGTGAGGCTGAACTTGGATATATAGGATCCTGAAAATAGCTTTGCATTATATATTATACCTACATACAGTATTACTTATTATATTATGAAGTGCATGCTGTCTGTATTTTTGAAATTTCAGAACTGTGGTTCTCGAAAACATAAAGGTATTTTGCATTCTATTTTATTAACATCAGATTCATTATCTTTGGTATTTCTAATATCGATGCATATAATTGTCTGATCAAACGAATAGAATCATGATCTTTTGCATAGTTGGGAGTTTCTATAAATTCAATCGGAGAAGTGTGTAAGGCAGTGCCAGTAAGCTACGTTTATAAATCGAATCAGGAAAACGTGATAAATGTGATAAAACAAAGACTGCAAGCTGTCCTCTCTCGAATATTCCATTTCCGCCTTTTTCTCATTCATGTCATCATTTTTCGCACCTTTGTGGCGAATGGAGTTATATATCTAAAGTTGTGGAAGGGAACTTTCTCTTTATATTTAGTTTCTTCTCAAGAAATCCCGATATTGTTGACAGAAATGTTCAATATCATTTCGTGAAAATATCTTCGAATAAATTCCCATCAATTAAAAGATGGCGAAGTTTTAAATCACTCAATTAACCAATTAACATATGAATGTTTCGCCTATCTCGTACATATTATCAAGAAAGATTGATGAATATACCTCTGGGGTTGGTGCAGGAAGAGATGTCTCGGTTTTCCAGGTGAAAAGTAGCCTTCCCTATTTTCCATTGAGTCTTGTGCATTTGCTAGGATATGCCACAGGAAGATTATTGTGAATAATAAAATTATTTGATGAAACGCCATCCTGAAAAAAAAATTTGAAATTAGTACAGATATTCATAAAACTTTACTGATGTGTATAGAAAATTATCAATTTCAAAACAAACTGCTGCTTCTGTAGATCGTTATCCTAAGTATGTATAGTATGTACCCAGCGAGCACGAACATCCCTGGGATGTTTTGGGGTGTTTTGAAAATGTTGGCATGAAGATGTTATTTTGAGACGTAATATGCACTGACCAAAGAGGTCTTTGAAGGATATTGAAGTATTGTTTTTGTTCTTCTGTGGCATTTCTTTGTTTGCCTACTGAGAGGTATTCCTGGGATGTTTTGGGATGTTTTAGAAATGTAGGCATGAGGATGTTTTTTTGAGGCGTAATATGCACTTCCCAAAGAGGTCTTAGAAGGATATTGAAAGTATTGTTTTTGTTCTTTTATGCCCTTTCTTTGTTTGCCCCACCACAACGTCTCATGCTTACGTCACAATACGATGAATTCTGATTTGTTTTCGATTTTGTTCTTCTTGTTCGCAATTGGCATTCACGTTTGCAGCGTGTCACGCTTACATCACGCTGCTAACGAACAGAAAGGAATTTGGTGAAGTTTATTGTGTAAGAAGACTTATTTAATTTGTAATAATGACCATCAGATGCAAGATGTGTTGTTCGGTGCCTCAGTGTAATCAATATATAAAAGTACGAATTCATCAATACACAGCTTTTCCGCAGTTGCAAAATTATGCATTGTGGAGAACATTTCAAAAATTGGGAAACCTATTTCCAATTATATGTCTGTGTGTAGTAAGCACTACTCAGAAACCGATTAAGAAGGTAATTTCATATCAAGAAAATATTTTTATGTTCAATCTATTTTTAATGCATTTTTTCATTCAAGGGAGGAATCCTAATGCAAAAGTTCATTTTGACAAAAGGCTTCAGAAAAGTACCTCGGAAATGCGCGGAAGACGCGTTGAAAATGTTTCGTTTTGTTCATGAAAAGCCTTTAAAAAAACTAGGGAGAAGGTAGTTTTGTGACATATCAAGGACATCTCGATAATTGCCGCCTGCGGCGGACATTGGCTGTTCTATAATAGTTCTATTCATGTGTGAACAGAACATCGCAGTGGAGGTTCAATGTCTCGAAATTTTGTACTTTTAACATCTCTGAGATGTTTTTGTGCTCGCTGGGTATTGAATCTTCCGGTATGCTTGCTCTCCTAACCCAATAACTTTGCTCCCAGAGTCAACCTGCTGTGTTTGAACAACTTATTCTGAGGTCTTCAGATCTTGCACATTGATTATAATTATCTTGATTATTCTCCTATGATTTACATAATTTTCCTGAACTAAACAAGATTACTCTGTTTCAGGGTTAGGAAGAACCATATACAAGCGGATAACAAGGTAATAGGACAAGGTGAGTGAGAGGTTTGTTTCTATACAGCATGACCTCACTGACAACTGGGCAGAAGACAAATGTTTTTGAACGAAAGTTTCTTATTCTTATAGGTGAACATGGTTCATACAACTCTTTGTTTCCGAGTTATACACTGTTCATAAAGTAACCCTCTCCTAGTTGACTTTTGAACGACTGGACTCAAATCTTTTGAAATGGCCTCCATTTTCTATTGGAATCAGAATGTAGCACTTCAACAACCATTGGAGCAAACAGAAAATAAAAAAAGCACTTCATGGACCTTGTGTATATTATCATGATCATCTGAATGTGATTCTAATAAACGATCAAATTCCATCTTTCATATATGAGAATGGTGGAAATGTATGGATTACATTCACATTTTCCTACGCATATGGATTTAAAAAATCCAGGGACAGCCCGTTTATTTTTCAACTCCTCCAAAGTGATTAGAACATGTTTAAAAGTTATTTAATTTCGTCAGCAATATGACAGGTCAAGTTCAAAATGATAATGTTCTTCTAAACCATAATATAGGAGCTGCAAATTGGAATTTATTTCGATCTCTGAAGTATATCCAAATTTCCTTCCCAGCAAGCGCTTATCTGAATATGAAATGAAGCGATAGCAATATAATCGAGAAAGAATCACAAATTTCCAATGATAACAATGAATTAAAAATGATCTGAGCGCTATATTTATCAAACATTAATCACGATCAAATGAAAAACAGAATTCCATTAGAGCTGGAATTTAGATGATGATGTGCCATTTCAACCGCGCTTAGGCTCTGTGGAAATTCACTTCCTATCAATTATTGTATATAGATGAAGAGGATTAGGTACCAATCGAATCTCGTTGTATCATGCAAATTGTCGAACCAGAAACACGTGAATTCATATGTAGATTTAAACAAAACATTGGAAATTACAAAAGTACCTAATGGTAGGCTCAAGAAAATTAGGACTTTTTTGACATGATTTTCAATTTCATTCAAGAAGAAAATGGTAGGAGAATTCAAATTCTCAATTTGTGTGTTAGATATTCGTTTTTCTACAGCACAGGTAGATAGACAGTAGTTACACATAACACTTTAAAATCGCTGTCTTAGTGTTGCAGGATTTTTTTGGTATGATTTTATTCCTCATAGACTAGTTTTATTTTTTTCAAAGTCATTCCTATTTCTCGCGTCTTATAGTTCATGTGTGGATGAGACTCATATTTCCTGTCAAATGTCGAATTTATATTATACGTTGCAATATATACAGAGCAGTATAATAATTATACCATCATCAGTGAGTTTGTGGGGCCCTGGGCTAATAGTACTTGGGGGGCCTGCCAAATTAACCAACTGTCATTTGTGTCTAGAAACTGTTTCCGATGTATTTCAGTAGGTAATTCTCTTTCAACTACGTATTAGTTAACGGTTATACGCTTAAAAAGGAATATTCTCAGATAAGAAGACTCACATAGCCAAATGGTTGATAGGGGAAATCGAGACGAGTTGACATTTTTTGACCCTCCATAACGAAGATACAGGGTATTATGTGAAATTGCTATATAACTTTGATGGTCGATATTACAGAAATTATCCGTCGTAATCTTCTGAAATTTGGCAGCGACGTATCTCTACTGAAACTTTTCAAGATAACATATTGTGAAAAAAAAATACAGATCCGTACTTGGGAAAATTTCATGTTTCATTGTTTTGTCAAAAAAGTTCACTTTGTGACCACTTTTCTCGAAAAATTCAATCAGATTCAGAACGATCAGACAAAATGCTATGAGAACTGCTCTTCAATTCACACGGCACACTTTGACCGGTTCAATAAAAAAATATGGAACAAAAACGTTCGAATGAATTTTCAATTTCGACCTGGCTGATAACTCTCAACTCATAACTGGTATCATGTAAATTGATTTTTTCCGCTCTGCTCCACTCGTGCTTGAAATACTCGTTACTAAAAGGACGTTTATAACACTTGTTACATAATATACTATTATGACTAACAATTTTCTAGCAGTATGTCTTGAAAAATACAGTCAAAAATGTGATTCTATTTCTGATACAATTCTAACATTGGGTTACTCGATATTGAGGTAGGTACGCCTACAAAATATCTATAATAAGCTGTTGCACGATCAAAATATCAAACAATATTTCATCCATATCCTCATTTATTGGCTCCAACCAATTAATAATTACTACGAGGCCAATGTAGGTAAACACATATACTGGCGATATTTATATATCTTGCTTTGCTAATAGAACGTTTAATGAATGCAAAAAATTACGCAATATAGGTACGAAAGCAATTAAGAGGGCATAATTATATTATTGATATAGCTACGTGGAAATTGAATTTTCCAACTGGTTGACTACGATATGTATAGGTATATCAAATATAATGTCTTCATTTTTAGGGTTTCCCTGTTTGTTTCCAATTTTATCCAGAAATGTATGTCAGTAGAAGAATTTTCGACGAAACATGCCAATAAATTTATCATGGGAACTCATTACTTAGGTACTGGCTTGGGTTATTTTCTATGCAGTGAAAATGAGTATAATACAGGGTGCATGGGACTACATTAAATATTGCTCACACTTTTTCGTATGCATATTTTTCGACAATTCAATCTTGGATTATGAAAAACCACACCTATTCATGAAAATATTGTTACATCTCACATTAAATGCATTTTTTCTGGTAAAGAGTTGCGAGTTTTTAAAATCCGAGATAAAATTGTGCATTCAAAAAGGTTTGGGAGTTTGAGTAATATTTAAAGTAGTCCCACCCTGTATTATACACTCCTGAATGCAATTTTTATTTTGGCTGCATCTAGGGTCTCTTGATGCAAACTGACGTATTTGCCATCTGACAAATACGTCAATTTACATGAAGGGACAAAGAAGGGACCCTATAGCTGCATCGGGCATGGAAAGGCTAGTTCATCATTTTATCACATGGTGGTTCGGAAATATTCAAGAAATTTCATCTTCAGGAGCCTTCTTTCACCGAAATTGGGGCATTAAATAACATGAGGTGTCTATGAGACATAAAAACACGATAAATCACAAAAAAATTGTTTTCAAAAAATTTGCATTCTCACCACGCTACATCTTTTAACAATTATTGAACGTCCTGTTTTTTCGGTGTTCCTGTGCTTGTGATTCAGCCAAAAGCAGACGCTTAGGTTGGGGCTGTATTAACCTCTGATCAATGGTTTACAAATGTCTCAGGCAAACTTTGAAGATCAATATCTTCCAAAATATTTCTTTTTCATCAAAATGTATCCTTTCATTTCGTTTTGTTTTCTCGTCTTTTATCATCCATTTCATTTATCACCACAATTTCGGAAACACCCTGTTTAGCTTGCGAACCTCTCGATCGCATCAAACTATCACACAATAGCTGGAAAGCTCAAATTGGTTCGATGGCAAGTGTTGATGAACCTAGAATCTCAAGACTAAAAGATTGTCAGCTGTTGTAAGGCAGGCTGTTCCGGCTTGCCAAGTTCCATCATCCAAGCTTGCATCAGGTCAGCTGGCAATCGATACACAATGTTTTTTATGTTCTGGTTTCCACGAAAAAGGATAACCTGTAATGTTCAGAGAA